TGAATGGCTTGGTGTCACTTGTTTCACGGGACCCCCTTGCTGACATCATCGTGCAGAGTCGATGGTTTCTCCAGAGCAACACATCACCGTTGATCAGAACACATTTCCTGCTCACATCTTCCACCCGCAAATGTAATGCCTTTTCCATCTTAACTAAGCACGTATCACGCCCTGTGGCCATAACTTTTGCAGTTTGAGGTGCTACAGCCAAACAAGCATAAATTTCTTTTTCCTTCTTCACAATTTCTGGGATAAATGATTCATTCTTACTGTAGATCGTAGCAACCAGGGCATACAATTTTTTTTCTTTCCTTATTAAGTCAAGAACTGTCACTTTTTCCCTCAAAGGAAGCACTTTACAGGCGCTCTTTGGCATATCCAAATTGCCAGCCTCACTACTCTTGAGCTTTGGGGCCATAACTAAGTAAAATAAGGTTGAACACAAGCACTGTGATATCACGACAGTTGATCTGATAGCCCAGAGGACCCCTAAATGGCTAACTGGTGGGGAGAGGATACAGCCCAGAGATGCTGGATAAGGGGGCGGGCCCGGGCCCTGGCAGGACAGAGTGGATGCCAGGAGTTCTTCACGGTACTAGGAAAATTGTACGATTTAAAACTTATGAATTGTTTGTTTCTGGAATTTTCCATTTCCAGACTGCAATTGACCATGGATAACCGAAACCCCAGAAAGTGAAAATGCTCATAAGGGGGAACTACTGTACCAGCAAAAACAATTAGAAAATAATTGTAAAAATGAGATCATTTACAAGAGTGTTAAGACGTACCAATACCTAGGAATAAATCCAACAAAAAGTGTGTAAGAACTTTGTGCAGAAAACTATAAAACTTTATTGAGGGACACAAAAAACTAAATAAATGAAGGAATGTATCATTTTCAAGGATTGTGAGACTGATTGCTATAAAGATGTCAGTTTTTTCTCAAATTGGTCCATAGAGTCAATAAATACCAATTAAAACACCCACAGCTTTTTCTGCAGAACTTGACAAGCTAATTCTAAAATGTATTTGGAAATGTGAAGGATCAAGAATAGCAAGCCACTCTTCAAGGAGGAGGGAGAAAACGAAGTGGAAGAAGAGGAGAGACATTCTCTACTTGACATAAGACTTATTGTAAAGCCGGTGTGAGACACTATTAGGGCAGTGTGGTGTTGTCACAGGAACACAAACAGAAAAACAGATAGACGAATAGACCAATGTAACAGAAGAGCCCAGAAACAGACCCATGCACATATGGACATTGATTTATGCCAAAGATGGCACTGCCAAAGAGGGGGAAAAAATGGTCTCTTCAGTAAATTGAGTTGGATAATTGGGTATCCACATGGGAAGTGGAAAGAAGAAAAGGGAGGGATGGTGGGAGGGAGGAAGGAAGGTATACAGTCTGCAGAAATACTTGCGCATATGCACTGGGAGACATATACAAGAATGTTTGTAGCAACATTACTCATAATACCCTAAATTAGAGACAACCCAAAAACTCAACAGTAGGGTGGATAAATAAAATGAGATGTATTCATAAAATAGAATATTTTACAGCAACAAAAATGCACAATGCCTTGTACAGAATAGATGAATCTTAATTAAAAACACAATATTGAATAAGGTAAGTCAGAGTATACGATTTCATTTACAAAATATTTAAAATCAGATAAAAACTTTGAGTGATGCATAAAAAAGTGATAAATTATAAAGAGAGGCAAGTCAGGATAGCCGTTACCTGTATTGCAAAGGGGGGGGGGAGATAGGCATTAACACTGGGAGGGGTTGAGGGGCGGGGCTTCTAGAGCACTGGCTACATTCTTTCTTAACCTGGATGGTAGTTATGTGGTATTTGCCACATAGTTTGTGTAGTAGTTGTACATGTATGTTTTCTGTATTTCTCTATATGCATGTTATATTTCCCAAGAAAAGGGTTTTTTTCCCCTAAACATAAAAACCCTAAGTTCAGTTTGGTTACTGTGTAAGCAGACAAGTGTGTAAGCAGGCAGTCCAGCTGTCCAGTAAAGACATAGTGGAGGCTTGGACGAGGGTGGAGAAGTGGTCAGATTTAGGAAATACTGTAGAGGTAAAGGTAGCAATTTGATGTGGAATGTGAAGGGGAAAAGAAAGACAAAGCAACGTACACGCTGATCATCATAAAACACAGTGGGAATGTATGCAACAGAACTAGTTAAGCTTTTAAAACGGAAAACATTAGTGTGAAGTGCTAGGGTGTGTGAGTGGGTATTAGATGGAGGGCTTCTGTCCAGCTGGTTAGGGGAGGTTTCATAGAAAAGCTGGGAAAACAAACACTTGACACTGCAGAGGAAATGCATGAGGGGATAATTCAATTAAAGGGAGTAGCTGAGAGTTTACAGGTTGAAGGTTAATAAGTACTCTATTGTTCTTATTACTCTTGTATACATTTTATTTTTGAGACATTTCATACATCATCTCTTAAATAGGTTTTTGTCAATTTATGACGATCATTTAGATCCACAAAAAAAAGTATAATACATCCTTGGCTGCTGTGGCTCAGTGGATTGAGTACTGGCCTGTGAACTGAAAGGTCACCAGTTCAAATCCCAGTCAGGGCACATGCCTGGGTTACAGACCAGGTACCCTACTGGGGGTGTGCAAGAGGCAACTGATTGATGTTTCTCTCCCACATTTGTATTTCTCTCCTTCTCTTTCTCCTTTCCTTCCCCTCTTTCTAAAAATAAATAAATAAGAATTAAAAAAAAAAATAAAAGATGTAGTCCATTACTTCAAACACAGTACCATTCCAAGAATTCTGATTGAACTATGAAGTCTTGAACAAGCACATCACACTATCCTAGAATCCAGGATCAGCTATGGTAAGGCAACATGAGAAACACATGATCCTAGTTGCCCATATCACAGTGACTTTGTATTATGTAATATATATTAATAACTTTACATTATTGGCTTAGTTTTAACTTTAGGATGTTGCGCAAAAATTTTTTGGTACTTTTTCTCATTGGATAGACTGATTGGTGTGGTAATAAAGGGGGGGATTATATAGACATAATGTCTAGAAACAGAAGTTTGTGGGAAGGGAGGCTTCTCAGGCAACCCACTTTATCTAGGAAGGCTTCCCTCATGAGTCAGAGTTGATTCGAGAATCATCCAGAATTAACAATAGAAGGCAAGAGGATTTCTTTCTTTTTTTTTTAGGCTTGTGGGAAAAAGAGAACGGGATAAGTAGTGATTTTAAAACTCTTTGGAGTCTCTGATCTAGCGCATGAGTAGGCACGACTCTTCCTTTCATACACATTAAATACAACATTAAAAGAACTTACTGCTGGACTGAGAGTGGGTTTGCTTTGATAGATGTTTGAGATTCTGCTAGGGCCCTTAATAGAGCTGAAAATGAGAACATTGAAACCAATGGTAGAGAGTGACAAAGGGAAGATCCTATTAACTAGAGTATAGGCAAAGCGAGTGTAATAGCTAACGATGACACATTAACTGTGAGCCAAGCACCATCCTAAGGGCTTTACCTCCATTAACGCATTTCCTTCTCACAAGAACACTGTGAAGACCTCCTCGTCCTACAGATGAAGACACCGCGGCACTCAGAGGTTGGCGAAGTTGGCTGAGATTGCAGAACTGGAATTCTGACTCTAGAATCCATAATCTTCACTAAGGTGCTAGGCTATATCTTTTTTTTTTTTTTTAAGAAAAAGAGGAAGAGATGGCATAAATTCTGAAACTTCTTTATGATTCTTCATACTGGTAGCTTAGAAACTATGGTGGCATTTTAGTGTGATGTACCAAGACAATTTTATCTCCTCTACTTTATCCTTAGTGCTTATTCCTTTGACTTTCCAATGACAACCATATCATTCTCTTGGATGACTCTTGAGACTTAAAAATATAGCTGACCTCAGCTCTATTTGTTTTTTTAACCTAACATGTTTGCTATTCTTAAGTGTTTAATAGCTTACTCAAATTTGGAGGAAAAAAATCCTCTGAGATTTTTAAGTAAAAGATCCAAGATAAATACATTTTGGGCTTTCAAGAATATTGAAATACCTAACAGCTACATATTGGCTTTCCTGTGCTAATGTTCTTTAAATTGCAGCCCTTTAAGGATACTTCTGGAGCAATTAATACACTAATTACCAGAGGTAACAAAGAGCTGTCATAGTTGAAGTCTTTTTTTTTTTTTTTTTTTAATTTACTTACTCTGAAGAATGAAAAACGGGGAAAACGATTCAGCTCCCAAATCGGGGAGAATGGAGAACGATATTGGAAAGTATTGATAACTTTTCTGCGGGGCTCCGGAGTCATGTGTAAACTATAAACTGTACAAACAGTTTAGATATGTAATCAGTATGTAAAGCAGTAAGATATGTAATTCTTCTACAAACGGTCACACTCACCCACGCTGACTGGAAAAATCTATCGTAATTGGAATCAGAGTTCCTGTTCTTTAAATAATGCGTTTGGATCTCCTGAAAAGCTACAGGGCCCTGATTTCTAAAGCCTCCCCCAGAGATGCTCGCCCTGCAGCTCTGGCGACTCCCTGGATACACCTCCGAAGGCTCCCGAGCCTCCACTTGAGCGTGGGCCTAGCGCCCGGGGCCGGGCTGAAGGGAGGGGCGGCCGAGGCGGGGGTGCAGAGAGAAGAGCGATGGTCTAGTCCCCCTTAACCGCGGCCCCGCGCGGCGCCCTCCCTCGCGGGGGCTGAGACTGGAGAGGAAGTGGGGAGGCTCCGCTCCGTCCGCACAGCGGCGCGCCCTCATGCCCCCTCCCTTCTCCGCAAGGGGCCCCGGCGCGCCCCCTCCCCGGCCTTCGCCCCGGGAGAGGAGCGGGCGGCGTGGGCGGGCGCGCGGAGAGCGACCGCGGGGAGCTGACGGCCTGCGCTCAGCAGCGAAGCCCGTCCGCAGCGAAACCCCAGGCGAACCAGGCCCCAAGGCGGCCCGGGAGACCGCTGAGGCCGGAAGTGTGGGTGCGTCACTTCCGAGCGGTGCAGTGGCGGCCGCTAGGAAGATGGCTGCGCCCTGTGGCTCGGAGCGGCCCGCCAACTCGCCGCTTAAAATCCCGAAGATGGAGGTGCTCTCCCCTGCCTCTCCTGGTGGCCTGAGTGACGGAAACCCTTCGCTGTCCGACCCTTCCACGCCTCGGGGCGCCTCCCCGCTCGGGCCGGGCAGTGCGGCGGGCTCGGGGGCAGCGGCGTCCGGGGGTCTCGGGCTGGGGCTTGGGGGGCGCAGCGCCGCCTCGTCCTGGGGAGCCCCGGCCGCCGCCTGTCGCGGCATGTCGTGGACGCCAGCCGAGACCAACGCGCTCATCGCAGTGTGGGGCAACGAGCGGCTGGTGGAGGCACGGTACCAGCAGCTGGAGGGAGCCGGCACGGTATTCGGCAGCAAGGCCCCCGGGCCGGCCATGTACGAGCGCGTGTCCCGGGCCCTGGCCGAGCTGGGCTACGAGCGGACGCCGTCCCAGTGCCGGGAACGCATCAAGGTAACCGGCCGCCCGGCCCGGGGCAGCGAACCCGCGGCAGAGAGGAGGCGGGGAGCGGACCTCGGGGGCGGGGCCGGTCCGAGGTCGGGGCTCCCTCCGGAGCCCGGTGGGCTACTCGCATCTCTCCGTCTTTTTCTTCTCTCCCTGGGAAGGGGTTGTTTTCCAGATGGCCGCCAGCCCGTAGGTTTCCTGAGTTTGAAGTTGGGCGTGCCTGCCGCCGCCCCTCTTTCTTGCCAATGGAAGACGTTCCTGCGTTCTGAAGTTGGTGGTTTCTCCTTGTGCGCGGTGGGCATCCCTGAGCCCGGGCGCCTCTCACCCCACCGGCGGGGCCTCGCTTTGTTCCAAGCGGAGGGGGCGCCTAGGCAGAGGCTTACCGGGGCGGGATTGAAGAAGGGTAGCAAAGGTGGGGGGCCGGTGGGCCCACAGTTTCGGAATTTTCAAATGAGTGCAGTGGCAGAGCCATAAAAAAGCGCCTTTGGATGACTGCCTTTTGTGTCAGTTGCCTTGCTTTTAACTTGAGCTCTGAAGGACGAGTAAGACTGGAGATGCTTTGGAGACTTGGAAAGGCTTGATTGGAGCCAGATAGTGCATTGTTGTCGCGAAGTTAGCTCGGCTGAGAGTTGGTCTGGAATTTGGAGTGTCCGTGCCTCCAGAGTTAGGTTGACTTGAGGTTGACTTGACTTAGTTTCTGACTAGGCTCCTTCATGTTCCAGGTTCCCTCTGCTTTAGTTATTGTGTCAGATGTGGTGGTGACAAGTTGAGCTCTAAGTGTGCACCTGGCCATCCTTGTGTACGTGGATGTTTAAATGCAGAAGTTTAATTTGGGCTAGAAATTCTACCATCGGCCAGGTTATTGTTTTGCTGTGTTTACTGACTTTTAATCTAGGTGTTGAAATGTGTATTATAAGCTGATTTGGTGGTGTTTTTTAGGCAAGCTAGTTCCCTCCTTAGTGTCTGCTATAAGACTATTTCTCCCAGTTTTCACTGCACTGCTTCTCGTTCATAGTTACAGCATCTGTGTACTTCTTTTCTGATAGGGATAACACTTCTTCTGGAACTCCTTGGGAGGTAGAAACCCAATAAGGACAATGGTAATCACACTGAAGGAGGAGATTGCTCCAAAGTTCGAGAGATCTTGGTTCAAGTAGTGGTCATCTGGGAACATTGTGCCTTAGAAAATGTAGTCCAGAAACTAAGACATTTGAAACCTGTTATCTATTGTTCAAGAAATTTGGCACCCATTTCTCAATCACAAAATTAAGTTGGTTTACTTGATACATGAACCTTTGGGTCTTACAACCGCCTTTTTTTGTAAACAGGTCATTAGAGCAGTAGTTTATAGACAGGATTTGAATTGAACTATGCAGATCCACTGGTACATGTATTTTTTTTCAATAAATATGGAATTGGCCCTAGGTTCGCATTCATGGATTCACCTAACCCTGATCGAAAACAGTATTTTATTTTCTCATTCCCAGCCGTGGTTGAATCTGCAGGTGAGAAGGGCCAACCCTAGTTGAGGTTTTGGGGAATCACAAGTGACTTTCCAGTTTTCCATGGCGTTGGGGGGTTGGTGCTCCTAACCTCTGCGTTTTTCAAGGGTCAACTGTAGTAGCTAATAGCAACCACTGCTCTCTGAATCTCAGTTCATTCTTCTATTTAAGGTCATTAAGATTCATGGGGGGAGCGAGGAGTTTTGCACTTACGCTAATTAGCTTCTATCTGTGAACTTTTCTTGAGTTTAGAAGTGCACCTTAGGCGTTTGTGACTGCTTTAGCTTGATCAATTTCTGTCCATAGAAATTTCCCAAAGGGAGAAAGTGATGTGCTATCAAAATCTCACGGGATATAAATGTGTCTATAAAATTGTTTCTCAGATGACCAGGAAATCTCTAGTTGGGTTGCATCTTTGTCCAGTTATGAGAAACATATCCTAAAGCAAAGAAGGGAGATTGAGCTTCTCTGAAGAATATTTTAAAAGGATCTGTTTACCTGTCTCTGAACAAATAAGGCCAAATTGACCTCAGGCTCTTAGAATGTTTTGAGAATACGTAGATGACAGTAATGGGTTCTCTGATCCACAGAAGCAGTAGACAAGGAGGGCAGATAAATGCTAGTTTTTTAAGGGCTGTACTCCTGAGGTGATTTTAACCAAGGAACAGCCTTCTTCTTTAACAATGTTGGTCTTTCCTGTCAGAATTATAGGCTCTGTCAGGACAAGTTCTGGTCTGTTACTCACGACTGTATCTCCAGTGTCTAGCACATAGTAGACTCTGGATACATATTTATTAAATTCACCAAATAAACAAGAAGAATAATTTTGGAAAGTATAAAAACCTAAAGCAGTGTTACTTAAACTTTAACTCAAAGACATAGACTTTGAAACGCAGTTTGAAAAATCTGCATTGAAAACTAAGCTCTGTCCCTCTAGGAGGCTTAGTATGAATGTAATGTTAAGCATAGAAGCAAATATGGCCAGGGAAGTCATAGCCTTATACCATTATGTGGTGAAGGTCCCAAGTAATCGAGGTTATGTTCAGGGAAATAAAAACCTTAAAAGATTCTCAGAGAATCCCAAACCCCTGAAAGCAAACCTTTAGATCCCATGTTCAGAAATGGTGATTGAGAACAAGTAATTCATAAATCTCTTTCACTTTATTGTTTTGATGAGAACCGCGAGAAGAAATTCAATAATCTTTTTTGCTGTAGATTTTACAAAATAGAAACAAACCAGTGCAGTAAGATGGACCACGAGGAGCCCTGACACAGACCGATGTAACGCGCTCCCTTGAACGGGAACTTGCGTCAGAGGGTCACAGGGAAGAGACACCCTGCGCATCAGTTCCATTTCTGGTCGAATGTATGTGAAATATCTATCACACCTCAATTTTGAAAACACAAATTTCTTCTAAGTTTGAAAGGAGGGAAGAGGTCTATAGTAACTTAAGTTTTTATTTTTCAGGAAACTTTCCCTTAATCATAGTTTCAACATGTTGATGTAGCAGCTTTCATCTCATCATATGAAGGCATCAGAAAGCTGAGTCCTATCCCGGCCTCTTCCCTGCCCACCCCCTGAGTAATCTTAAAGCTCATCCCTTCCCTTCTCTGGACTGTGCCTCAGTCTTCGTGTCTATTAAATAGAAGTATTAAAATTGTAAATATTGAAATTGAATGAATAGCTTTTGGATTTTGCTACCAAAGTACAATTCCGAAATACTACCAAAGTGACTGTGTATATTTCTAAGTACCCCGGATTTTACCTTAAAGTCAGATAGAAACATTTGTTTATTGCTGCAAAGAGTTTAATTTTGAAGTCTGACATGTCGATATTAATATTTGTTCAATCATTTGGATAAAAGGATGTGTTTGAGACTGTGTTGCTGCTCTGATGTTTTGTTGCTTTTTGTTTGTTTGCCAGAAGAAAATTTGTCTGCTAACAATTCCCGCCTAATTTCGGAGCAAGGTAAACAAAGAAGTGATTTTCTGTCTAGTCATTACATGATTTTTATCCTTTTATATAAGTCTTTTCTTCATATCTCCATTCATCAAATATTTGAGTCTACTATGTGCAAGGTTGTCTGCTAGATGTTAGGATGAATAAAAGAACTGTACCGTACAGTCTGAGCGCTTATAGTGCAGTTGAAGTCTATACACGTACCAGAGAGTTAAAAGCTGCACAGAACAATGCAAGGAATGGTATACAACACAGCACTTGATTAAGTGTCATATACTAAAATGCTTTAGTGTCATACTAGAGCTGACATCAGTAAGTGTGATGACTTCAAAGGGAGAGCGCGCATCACAGTTAGTTCATACTGCAGTAGTCAGAAGAGCTCTCCAGGCTCAAATTTCACGAGAACGGCACTCCTGAGCCATGCGCTGTGTTCGCCCTTCTGTCAGTTAATCTGCTGCACTACAAAACTCATTCTCAAGTCCCAGATTTTTGGTTTTTTCCCAAAAATTTGCCTCTTGAGAGTTGGCTAAATGTCTTTGAAACAGATGTGTTCTTTTCGCTCTGCCCAAAGATGAAATGCAAGGTGACTGCATGACCTACAGCACTTGTCTTTGCTGGACCAGAGCTGGTGCGCATCAGACGTATTTAAAAGTGGTAGGCAGTCTTCTGCCCAGCAAACAGTGATTAAAGTTTTAGGGACATTGCTTAAACTTACTCATCAGTAATTGTCATGATCTTTGGAACAAATTTCATACTTTAGCAGACAAATCATAGTATATAGTCTATTTGGTCTTTTATTTTTGCTGTCAAGCTTCGTCATTATTTGTGGAAACCAACAGGGCAAAGATAACCTGGAGCCGAATGCTTGTCCCTGGATAAGCATTTTAACAGACTGCCCGCCTCTAAGGACCTTTACCTGGTGTTTGCAGACAAGACCATCCCTTTGCACTATCACTGAAAGATTTCCAAGAAACATGGCATACCACTGAAATAGTTCACAAGAAAGATTTAATCAGGTTTGTTTCCTTCCATTTTTTTTCATACTCAGTTTCTGTTGTTCCCATGCCCACTGTCACCCGAAAGCTTGTGTGTTCCAGTTTGCTTGTCTGCTTGTGAGTCTGACAGGGGCTTGATGTGCATCTTAAAAAAATATAGTCACGCACCGCATAACAACATTTCAGTCAACAAAGGACTGCATGTATGATGGCGGTATACCAGGTGGCCTGTGTATATGGCTAGCAGTTGTAGGCTCTGGCACACATGCCGCCCAGGTCTGGGTGAGTTCACTCACTCTGTCATGTTTGCACGATAAGGAAATTGCCTAATAACGTGTTTCTTAGAACATATCTTCATTGTTAAGCTGTGCGTAGCTCTAGACTTAGAGACTACTGACCATAAGCCTATAGTTAGGCTTCCAGTTTTGTAGGTAAGAGAGCTAACAAACACAGGTTGAAACTGAATGAATAGGCCTCTGAGTTTTATTTTAATTAATTTAATTTTAAATTGTAAATAGCCACATGTTCTTAGTGGCTGCCATATTGAATGAT